AATTCCATGCATGTAGTGTACTGGTTAGTGACTTATAACACTATTTTAGTTGATACTACAGAATACATGTTCACTTTTGATGGGCTTTCAAAATTCCACTGATCCCTTTCAGGCTTTAAATCCTAAAAAGAAAAACAAAAAGACTATTCTATTTTTCTTAGAGAATTAATTTTGGCAAAAGGCAACTGCCTGGGTATTTCAGAATGATGCACACACTCCTCCAGCACGTGAGAGAAAAGCATTTCAGAAAGGAAGCTGCTCTTGAGGAGGAAAATAAAAATCTAAATAGCCTCCTCTCAAAAGTCTTAGAGAAAATCAAAGTAGGACACAGAACTAATTATTATTTGCACAAAAGGGGCTTTTTGCTACCCATCACTATTGAATGGAGAAATGCAAAGGAAACACCTCATGAACAACATTCCGGCTCTTGCTCATGGCCTGGGATGCTGTTTCTGTGCTTGCAGATTGTTTAATTACAGATATTGGCTTGTTCATGGCCAGGCCACCACTGGTTCCCTGCTGGGGTGTCTTTATTAGGGTCTCCAAAGGAACTCTGTAGACAAATGGATCTACAGCATCAGAGGGGTATGTGTGAATGGGGAAGCAGAGGGTCCACGAAAATTGTAATGGAAACACTTATCTGAACAAATCTTGTTGCAAAGGGCATGAAAATGGAACACTGAGACACAGCCTGAATGGCCAGCTTTGGGGTGAGTTTCCTTGCTCTCCTTCCTCTCTCTGTTCCATAGGAAATTAAAGCCATCTCTGGAAAGCTCACTAATCTGAGGTTTCAATCCAAGAGTGGACCGACCACTCACTGCCACCAGAACTCCACATGAGCAGATCCCAGCTCTGGCTTCAGATAGTTTCCTATCTGTCTTCACACAACAAAACAGTGTAATCTGAGATTCAAAATTAGGCCAACCTGTGATTGACTTGCAGGGGATTTTCTACTGACATCTCAGGTCCCTGGTAAAACCTGGTGGTAAAGGGGACAGCAATTTCTTGTAGCCCTGTCTGTGGATTCTCAATCTCCTGTAGCTTCTATTTATGATGCAGAGAAGAGGTAGTCTCTTGAAAGCAGGCTTCCAACAAGCATGACTTAAAGGATAAGTTTGTCAACCTTTTCAGCAGTAGAGAGTAAAGACATTTCTTTGAGTTTTGTTTCCTAATAATTCCTGGGTTTGTATCCTGACTGATCCATAGGTTCTAGAGAAGGATGAATTATTAAATTCACCCACTTTCCCCCCATTTATTTAAACAGGTTCATCATGACCACCATATAGGTATTTTACTAGTTATTTTTTACTAAGAAGTAGAACTGGATTCTTCACCTAATTCTATTATTCAGCTTCTTCTCTATTTCAAAGTGGCTTCAAATTGAATAAAACCAGGAGCTGAAGTTTTAGTGTTTAGATAAACATAAAAATTGTTAGATTTGTTGTTGAAATTTATTATTGTAAACTTTAAAGTAGCTGTAAATAACTTTAGATTGTGAGCTTGCTGTGTTAGTATTTTAATCTGCCTTCCCAGCATCATTTTGTATTGTTCCATGTTTAAATCATGCAAAAATTGTAAGCTCCAGTCAGACTAGCTCCTTGCTTTCCCTTGAAGGAGGCACAGTACAAATTATTAGTCAGAGGACAGCCATCAGCCACAGTCTATGTTTTACTCACCCCCTGCTTGGCAGGCCTTCCTCCCATTTCTACCTGGCAAGATTCTGCTCACTCCACAGGCTCAACACAGGGCTGCCTTCTTTATGATCTTTCCAATGGAAGGAGTTCTTTTCCATATTTGAACCCCCACAGCATATTCTCATCTTCATCTCATCTGGTCACATTCACTGTGGTTCTTTACTTGTATATCCCAGTCCCCTATTTCTTTAAGTCTGGATTTCTATCTTACTGATTATTGTATCAACATATGCCATGTCATAGGGACTCTATGAATAATTGCTGAATAAAATTTTGTTTTCCTTCAGTTTGCTCATCCATCCATCCATCAGACATTTATTGAATACCTACTATACACCAGGCACATACTTAGTGAAATCCAGGTTTAAAGAGTATCTACGATCTGTGACATTCAAGTCTTGTTATTTCAATACTTTGCCATAGCCTTCTGTTTCTATATTTATTGAGTTGCTCACTTTTGTGTATTTTAATAGCAGCCTCACACCCTTTAGAAACAACACAGTACCAATAAACAAATAAAGAACTTTTAAAAATCAAGTAACTAGCTCCAAACCACAAATCCACACACTGAAACTTCACTGGAAGAACTCTTGCTGTAGAGAAAAATTCAATAAAATGTAGATCTTCCATGAACCTTTTTCAAGGGAAATGAGTTTCTAAGTTAATTATTATATGATCTTACTTCTAATGTGTCCCACAAACATGGTGTTCAGAAATCTGATTAGAAAACCCTGATATATTAATTCTAGTGGTTGATGGTATATGACAATTGCATTGTGAAATCTTGGACCATTTCCCAAGCTGGGAAACATGAGAAAAACACGTCTACATGCCTTGAAAACTTTCCCTACCATTTTAATTTTTATTTTTGAGCCAAGGTTACCAGGATACAAAATTTTTTTGCCATCAACCTAGGGATCTTCCCAGGTAGTCATTCTGAGAACCCTTCTAATATCCTTGCATCCATTAGGATGCTTGTAGCTACAAGAAGGTTTCCTATCACCTTTTAAAAAAAGGAGAGCAAGGCTTAAAATACATAAAGATACTGTTTTGGAAAAATGGCTTCTGAAATGTGAGTGGCTCCTAGGATCTGTACAAAACCAAGACCAATTGTGTTAATTAAAGCTTGTGTTTTCTCTTCTTGTGCTACAGAAATTTCATATACTTGTCATCTGGCTAATGCTACTTTAATACCTAAATGTCACCAGTAAAAGGAAATTATTTACCCACATCCTCACATGGGTAAATTGGTTATTTTGGTTATTTTGCATTCATATTTCTCTTGAGTGTATTTGATGATTATCTAGATATATATCAAGCTTAACAGATTCTATTTAAACTGAGAAGATTCCTTGATCTGTAAAACTGATTTAAAACTTTGTTTTCATGAAGACTACCCGATAGTTAGTTTACAGTAAATCCCCAAGGATATATTGTCACAAACCAGATCCTCTCTTTATGGTTCAGCTTAGGGAGGAGAAAACAGCACTGTCAAGTCTACATTAAAATACAAAATGAACAGAGACAGCTGGCATTCTAAACAATTAATATGGAGAAATAAAAAAAGAAGATCTAACAGATTGTTGTGTTTGAATTTAATGGTATACTTTGGCTAGGGAAATGAAATGCAATTTATCTAAAGGCATATTTTTAAAAAACCTGGTTTCAATTGATCTTGGTTATGTTAAAGCCCAGTTCACCAGTCATGAAGACTTATGTTTGTTTGTTTCATCTACATTTGTCAGGCTCCAGAGCTGCTCCTCCCTGGATTGTAATCTTCCAAGGGCAGCTGTTGTAATTGTCATGCCCATGGTTAGCACTTGGTATATTATCAATCACTGTTAGTTGATTGAAGAAAAAAATTGGACTTTGGCCTTCTTTCCACAACCCTAAAGTATTGCCAAAAAGTCATGAGCCTCAAATTTCAATAGATTTGCTGGGTGCAGTGGTGTATGCATGTACTCCCAACAGCTTGGAAGGTTGAGGCAGGGGGATTACAAGTTCGAAGCCAGCCTCAACAACTTAGTGAGACCCTGTCTCAAAATTAAAAAATAAAAAGATAATAAATAAAAAGGGCTGGGCATGCAGTTCATTGGTTGAGCTCCCTTGCCCCTGGGTTCAATTGCTGGTTATATATTAAAAAAAAAAAAGACTTAAATGTTAGTTGATGTGTTTTGGTAAACTTTCGGCACGATGATAAATTGAGGAGACAGAGGGCAAAGATTTTTTCCCCCCTTTCAGAAAATTCTCATGAAGATTTTAACATTATACATCTCAACTCTGCCATTGGAATCCTTGCAGGGTTAGAGTAGAATTTACAGCCTTTGTTGTTGTTGTTGTTTTCCTTGTTGCAAATTCTCTCATCTATCCTATTTCTGAGATAATTCTTTTAAGAAACCCTCTGTGGCCCCAATTCACATCTATTCTGGTAGATATTTTGCTGGACTTTGATGAAACTGCTTTGGGAAATAATAGGAAAAATAAAAGTGGGTTACCCCAGAGAAATAAGCTTCTGAAGTGCAATGTGATCTCATGGAATGCAATTACCTAAGTGGATGTGCTTCCACATTTCTTTGTTTCCAGAGTGGCCTTCACTAATCAAGTGGTTGTATGTCTCAAAAAACTACATAATTTATAATTTTGGAAATATGAAATAGAACTTGCAATGTGATCTCAGTGGCTGGGTCACTTATCTTTGCAAGGATTTTTATCTGATTCTAAAACAAATGGGCTACTTCTTCAAGGCATATTAATGCTATGAAATCATGTTCCACCTTTGCCCCCTTTCATGTCAGCAGGAGCTTAGGGAAGGTATGACAGACAGTTCATTTCTGCCAATGCGTTTCTGGCCTTCACTTCAAGAGAAGGCTATTTCATTTTCTCTGGGCCTGTAAGTCGAGCTTTGATGGTGCTTCTTACTATATTATTGGGTCTGCATGATGCTTTACAGTGAATCTAAAATCTTTGGAGGAAAGATCTCAAGAGTCCTTGACCCTTGCTGGGTTCTAAAATTATAGTGTGGAAATTAAATAAAAAGAAGTTTGTGTCTTCTTCATGGAAAATTTTTTTGGGTGAGATTTCAGGACCAAATGTTGCTTATCGAGGGAGAGCTGACCCCTACCCACCGTGACCCTGGAGAGCAGCTGTCAGCCCTACAGGCTGAGAACAGAGCTTTGACCTGGTGGTCTCCGGTGGTTGAAATGCTGCCTTGTGCCCATATGGCCTGCTTCCGTGCATCTCCAAAGGAGTTGCACAGTCTTTATGGGGTCCAAGAAGTTTTCCCCTTGCTTCTTGGGAATCTCAAAAAAGAAGCAAAAACGATTCAACCAGCAAAGCAAAGGCCTGAGAAATATTTGCAGCCAACAGATCATGGTTGTACCTAAGATGGAATTTTGTGTAGCCTTTTGTTTAGTGTTGTTTACAAGGGGACCAGTTAGGAACCCTGGGTTAAACACTTTGACAGATCTATCCTGAAGAGCAAAAATAGCAAATGACAGGCTATGACTGGGGATTGACTCCGAGAGCAGGCTGGATTTGTGAAATGAGAATCAAAAAAGTTTTCGCCTTCTAGCCCACAGGTTAAATTACTGAAGATCAATCACCATCATCATCTCTACCCTCTTGTGTTTACTCTTACTCTGGAGAGTAATCTAACTCATCATTTGCAATCAGGGCCTCCGAGTTCTGTTTGTGTTTGCTTTTGCTCTTTGCTTTGCTACTCGTCCGGCTGTTTGTCTTCGCATCTGACATCTGTTGGTAATAGAAGCCTTTGTCTTCCGCCGGCCCGCCCCAGTCCTCCTGGCTCTCGCCCTCAGTGGCGTAGGAGAAACCGTCCTCCACCGAGAAGGGCTCATCCACGTCGTAGCGCTGGTACGTGCTTTGATGCAGGGCCTCCTCGCGGGCGCTGATTTCCAGGGTGCTGTTCCAGATGCCGTATCCAAAGTAGATGAGCACACCTGCAGAGGAAGGCACAGGCGAACGAATAAGAAGTTGCTTGGGGATCAAGGACACTAGCAGGGGAATCACCTTCGCTGAAACCAGAGCAGGAAGCGATATGTATTCTTGGATCTGTGGAGTGTCTAGAATTAGATGCTGTTTAAAAATTAGGAGATCTTGATAGGGTGTGGTGGCGCATGCCTGTAATCCCAGCGATTCAGGAGACTGAGGCAAGAAGATCGCCAAGTTCAAGGCCAATTTAGAAAGACCCTGTCTTGAAATAAAAAGGGCTGGGAATGTAGCTCAGTGGTAGAGTGCCCCTGGTCATTCCCTAGTAGGGGAAGGGGTTGGGGGGTGATCTTGCTGTAAGCATAATACAGCTTCCCTAAGGTCAAAAAATCTGACAACATTGCACCCGCATTCCTATGTGGCAATTTTTGGCTAGAGGTGAGAACTAGCTACCTTTTAGACAGGATACAGACCCACTTCCCCTGCTGACATCCCGTTCATTACTGTCATATAACTGCTAGCCAGGAATTTGCATTTTCTGGCCTGGGTTAAATATTTATGGATCAGCAACAGTATATTCCCAACCTTCTCATAACATGTTATTATCCCTTGCCTTCACTTATGGACTCCGTCTCTTGTTTCATGGCTTAGCAACATGTATGAATCATTTTATTTCGTATCTTCCCATTTGTCAACTTGCCAATAGCATAATACATTGCTGCCCTCCAAGTTGCCCACTTTCTTCTCTGGGCTCTCAGAGTGTCTAGTGCACAGCACTTCTGTGGCCCTTAGAACATCTGTTGTGTGATTATCAGCACAGGGTGGTTCTGTTTTATAGGCTGCAGAAAACTGGCACTCAATGTTTGCTAAATGAATGAATGAGAATTCCTGATGAGCATGAAATGCCCAGTGCAACTTCTCTGTGTGGATTCCATCCAAACGAAATTCACCTCCCTTATGGGCTCATGCTTCATTTCTATGATCTTTTTGGAGTCATATGATAATATAGTTTGAGAGCCCCCATCTTCCACTTTGAAAGGCCCATGAGAACCAGAGTGGTGGCAGCCATAGGGCAGGAGGAATGAGAGTGTGGGCTCCATGTTCAGTATCCTGCCTCTGTCACTGCTAACTGTGCAACCCTGGGCTGTTACTCAACCTTTCAGGTTTCTGTTCTGTAAAACCACGAGTGTCAGAGCAACTATATAAAGTGGGACTGCTTGAGGATGAAATGAGTTAAGTGATAAGCCTCAACCCTGCTTGCGCTGGAGAGTCACTTGGGGGAGTTTTTGAACAACTCTGATACCCAAGCCCCATCCTTGGAATTTGGATTTAATTGGTTTTTGGTATGACCCCAATGTAGTTTTTTTTCTTGGTACTGGGATTGAATTCAGGGGTGCTTTACTACTGAGCTATATCCACAGCCCTTTTATTTCTTATTTTGAGACAGACAGGGTCTTGTTAAGTTGCCAACCTGCATTGAACTTGCAATCCTCCTGCCTCAGTTTCCCGAGTTGCTGAGATTATAAGCATGCAGCACTGTACCTGGCTCTAGTTAAATGTTTTTTTTTTTTTTTAAATATTTTTTTGTAGTTGTAGATGGACACAATATCTTTATTTGATTTGTTTCATTTTTATATGGTGCTAAGGATTGAACACAGTGCCTCACACATGCTAGGCGAGTGCTCTGCCACTGAGCTACAGCCCTCATAGTTAAGATTTTTAAAAGCTTCACAGGTTATTTCATTGACCAGGTTGAGAACCCCTGGGACAAATTGCCTGATGCATATTCTCTACTGCCCACTAGCAGGGCCCTGCCACTTGGGTCCACCAGTCATGCAACCTCTTTCAGACCCTCAACACCCTCTTCTAAGTGGCACTGGCTCCTTTGACTTTACTAACCCTTGCTCCTTTGTGGTATCTGCTTGGTTGTTTGTACAGAACCACAAGTTAATCCTGCTTTCCTGTTCTGGGCTTGAGAAATCTTGCTCCCTTTTGCATCCAAAGTATGTCTTTTTAAGCTTGGATTTCTCCCTCCTTGTCTCAAATGACATTTCCCCTTCCTCCTCCCCAGTGCCCCCCCAGTGAAATAAACTTTCCAGGAGCCAAAGTAAGCAGAGATTTATAGTCCTAATTGGTAATAAATCCTAGAGTTAATCATTTGCAGATGTAGCTATTACTGCTCAAATAGCAACTTCATCTTTTTGAGCATGGGTTTTTACTCTTTCTTGTCTGGTGGGGGGTGGACATGGGAGGTAGTTATTATTCTTGTGAAGAACAAGGCATCACATTAAAGCTTATTCAAAAGGGCCAATGGGCCAGTTCTTGGAGAATGCCTGTTTGAAGCATGTCTGGGATCTGAAATGAATTTTAAGTGACCAAGTGGAACCAGCAGGCACATACCTTGTTTTACCTGATTTTGCTCTTTTGCTATCTTTATTTCTAGATATCTAGGCAGGTGCCAAATCTTACCGCCTACTCCTGCTTGGTATCTATTATGCCATTTCTTTTCTTTCTGATCCCTTACTCTGACCCTATTTATAGATGGGTCATTTTCCTTTCGAACTGACTACAATTTACCCCTTTCCCCTAATTTCCTTCTTCTGCCACTACACAGGCACTACAGAACTCCATCACTGGTAGACACCTATTTCTTTTTTTCTTTTTTTTAAATTTATTTCTTACATACATGACAATAATGGAATGCATTACATTCATAATTATCCATTCACACCTATTTCTAAAAGGCCTTTCCCTTGCCCCCACCTGGAGTGGGAATTCCACTGGGAATTCTCTAAAAACGTTGGTGTGATTGCTCATAGAATCATAGACGCTTGAGTGGAAAGGATCATATAAGTCATCTATGTATTTTAATGTCTTCACTTAACAGAAGAAACAGACTGGCCAACATGAAGTGACATGCCCAGGCTCCTACAGGGACAGAACTGTCCTTCCCTATGGGTAAGGCCTTTTTCATATGTAATCTTTCACATTTCTCTTCCCCAACCTGTCTTATAAACATGCTTATTGCAGTAAATATTCAGTAAGTGCTTAGGTGTTTTTAGGGAGTAGCCAGGCCTGGGAAGAGCATGTTTGTGCACATGCATGTGTGCTTGTGTTTGTGTGTGTGTGTACAGACCATGATTACTCTGGAGAAGGCAACCCATGGAGACCTGCTCCATAAATATTTATGGGTCTTTTAATGTTTTTCTAGCCCCTGCAGTTCCAAAGGTGTGTCACTCTGTCTTCAAAAATACTATTCAAATATGGAACTAAGAAGAGCCTGCGTGAGGCAGCCTGAAGGAACAATCCGTCAGTCGGCTCAGGCAGAGCCATTTTCCCAGGTCTTGGCATTTTGTCCTTTCTGCTGGGTTCTTGAATCAATTCGGGAAAAGTGGTATGAAGCAGAGGAGGGGAGAAAAGGAAATATTGGAGGTGGACAAAGAAACAGAAGGGAGCAAATGAAGGGAGTGAGGGAGGGAGGGAGAGAGGAGAGAAACGCGCTCTACCATCTGTCACACATAAACAAGGGCTTTGTGTGAGGAGTAAACAGCGCTGCTAAAAGCCTCCTGTGTGGAAGCAGGGTGTTTTGTTTCTGCTCCTTTTTTTTTTTTTTTCCACTTGGCTTGGAGAACTGTGCATGAGGTAGCTTCTGAAAAATCTGCCGGATTCTGGGAAACCTGAATTATCTAAACTAAACTTCGCACAACACCTGCGTGCTGAAGCTTTCTAATCATGGCAGTGAAGCTGCCCCTCTCTCCTGAGGAGCTTGAAATGTTACACAAATACTGTCTTGTTTAGACTCCATCTGGCCTGTTTGGGAAGGTGTGATGCGTGTGTGTGTGTGTGTGTGTGTGAGTGTGTGTGTGTGTGTTATGGGGGAGGTGGTCATTATGAACATCTCACAGACAGGAAACTGGTGGGCAGGAAAATTAAGGGACTATCCCCAGCAATGTGGTGAGAGACTGGACCATGACCATAAATCCTTCCAGGTCCTCGTGCCCTAACACAGGGGGCTTGGCCCTCTCTTATTTCTCCCATCTGCCAGAGGAGGCTCTGAGGTACATATTGATGGGAAACAATTTTGCACTTTCAAACATAAAGGAAAGGGTGATGAATGGTATAATGAGTCCCATGTCCTCCTCTCCTGCCTGCTTCTCTTTAGGTTATTTTGAAACAAGTCCCTTCTATTGTGGGTTTCATCTGTAAATATTTCAGTATCTTTAAAAATAGGTCCTTTGAAGACCACTATTTAGAATCATTACCACATCTAAAAATTAGTAATAATTTCTTAAAATTCTCTATTATCAGTAGTATTAAAATTTCCCCCAATTATTACACACGTAGGGGAAAACTTTCCACCTTATGAGCCTACACACTTCTTCTACCAATGCTATCATTACTTGAAATAGTTTTTGGGCACTGTTATTTAAGAAAGTCATTGGTCTTGGCATCATATTCTCCTGTGAACCCTTACAGATAGCCAAGTTTTATCTTTTGAGGGTGGATTTGATTATCCACATAAAACAGAAGTGGAAGCAAGCTTCAGGAATAAGGTAGCTAATTAAAAAAATAAGCTTTTTTTTTTTTTTTGTTCTACCTCAGTATTGTGTTCTACCTGTTCTTATCCACTTTGATTTATTGCTTTGCAATTACACATCTTCTATTAGTAATGAATTATTTAAAGTAGGTGTGGTGCTAAAAATCAGAAGGGAGTAGGCTTTTGTGTTGTAGCAGGGTCTGGAGGCCTCCCTGTTGGGCTGCAGTGGTTTTATTAGTTGTTGGGTTACACAGGGTGCGGTCAGGGCAGTGAGCCCAGAAACGCATCAGCATTTTAACAACAGCCGGGGCTGCACCAGGGCTCACCGGGCGAATGCCAGCCCTGGTGGGGGTTCTGGCAGTGGGTCCTGTGAAAGGCTGCAGTGAAGGGGGGATATTCAAAGGGAGGCTTTGGCTTCTTTTCCAGGCAGAAGTTCCCTGGTGGAGAATGTACCTATGAGAGGTTCAGGTTAGA